TCAGGGTTCTTAGATCCTTATTTTATTTTTTCCCACAAGCAAAAACAGAAGTCAACTAAAAAAAAAAAAAACAAACAACAACAACAAAAATATACACACAAAACCCTTACAGTTAACAGTTACATATTTTATCCTATATTACATCTTTCCCTTTTCTGTGCATATTTTTCATCTTCACAAAAAATGTTCTCTGACAGGCCTTATATTTGCCATTATTTTTTTTCCTGGCATTAACAGCAAACAAAAGATGTGAAGAAGAAATCATTTTCATGATAAACAATATATTTAGAGACCGAAGATGTTATGTTGTACCAACTCTGAGATCAGCCTTATTTAAAAAAAAAAAAAAAAAAAAAAAAACCTTCACTGAATTCCGCAAATAGATTATTCAGGAAAAAAAATAAATTTTCTTATTATTTCTCAACAGAACCAAAGCACAAGTTGTTCTCAGCAGAAACAGACACCTTTTGTCATTTGTTCTTTGGCATATAATTTTTCTTCTATTTCTGGAGAAGGTAAAGGGATTGTACTTTCCCAAACCTCCTTTCTTCTCAGTGTAAGCAAAAGGAGGTGGCAACTAATCTGAAACAAATGGATCGTGAATTTCTGTCGAGGGAAAAACATTTTTGTGCCAGTCTCTTCTTAAAAAAAAAAAAATAAAAAATAAAAAACTTCAGCTGCTGAATATATTAGCAGAAAATCATTATCGACTTGAAACGTGTCCTAAAAGTCACTGCTGTTTCTATTCTAAACAACACACAGGAACCTGAAGCACATGCACTCAGGTAGTTTGCTCAGCTGCAGCAGGGGCAAAACCGAAGTGTATCCCCCAGTTCTTTGCAACACTCTAATAAATTTCACGTACAAAGCCTGGGCACCGCTCAGAGGAGCGCAACCAGTCACAGCACATCTCACAAGGGCCCTCGACTGCTGTACACTACAGCTCCTTCCCTATCGCAGTCCCAATCTACATGCCTTCGAAGCAGTGTTTCTTCAGCAATTGCTTGTTGGTCACACAACAGAGAATGAATTTCAGGGCCCTAATAACACAGGCCAGAACACTAAAAATAACGGTGACCGTACACAGCGCAAAGCAGCATCATAATTTCAAAGGTAAAGTTTAAAAGAAAAGTCAAACCACAATATGACAGGGTTAATGATCAGCTAGCTGGAAGATGCACAGAGTTTCCGCAGGCTAAAACACTGCATATGCTCAAGCCTGGCTTCCCTGTACACCACAGCACTTGCTCGAAGCTAACAAGTTATCTCTTTAGCCCTCAGAGATATTTGTTTCATCTCCAACTCAAGCTTTATACGTTCATTACTCACTTGACTGCAATTAATCCCTGTCTCCGTAGCTAGTTTGATACGTCCAAAGCAATTCCGAGAGTGAAGTAATGGCAAATGCAAATTTTAACTATAAGCTTCATTATGAACCTAATTCTTAGTAGTTTGAGTTACTATTGTCAAGAGCTTCACACAACAACTTCCAGCAAATGAAAACTCGACACTTCCTTCTTGCAGGAGCCATGATTTCTACCCAATAGCACATTCTTTTAAAGCACTGTGGAAACTGACCTCTTTTCCATCTGCTAACATCACAGTTAGGTTCAACATATAACACTAAATCATTCAATTAGTCACAGACCTAGCAAAATGAAATAAAGAAAAGAATAAGGAGGAGAACTCAGGAATCTAAACAAATAATTAAAAAGAGGAGAAAAAAAAAAAAAAAGACATGGTATATAATCTCGGTATTTTAAAAGAACAAAATTCCTATGGTTCCAGTTCCTGTTCTTACATGCCTCTTCAGTTTCTTTTCCAAAGCGAAGCAAAAGCAAATAACCACACTGCATGTTTTAAAACCTGAGAGAAGTTTCAGAGTAGCTTAGAGATTATTATTTTTATATATAAAAGAAAGGCAAGTGCTATTTTCCCTTCAAATTGTGGTATCGCCAAGCACGGCGTGGAGACAAGTTCTGAGACAGTATCTCGAGATGTGTCTTGCACGGTGATGACACCACTGACACCTTCAGGAGTAGGAGTCTCCCAGGAGTGCATGACAGAGCAGCTCCCTCCTCCACCCTAATGCTCCAGAAATAGCCCAATGCTAGAAAGCATTTTAAAGAAAGTAGAGTTCTAAATACTTAATAAGGAGAAGAAAATGGGGAGAAGCAGCTGATTTCCATTAAACTGGATTTCAAAAGCTTACGGAGAGACAAACAAGCCTGAGAAAATTTACATTGAAAGCAGCATCAGTACATTCTGACTCTATAAAAGTTTACCATCAGGACTGATCAAAACAAAATTTGCCTATTATGCTGTATGAGACAGCTCTTTGCCCAGTTTCAAAGAACATGTTTATTCCTCAAACTATCTTAAAATAAATATCCTGTAGAGATTATGTGCTGTCTTAACTTCCATAAAAGAAAGCTAGATATAGTAACGATACGGAATAAATAGGTTGTGTTTCCTTTCCCACACGTCTCTCTCTTGCGTGCTCAAGTCTAACAGAACCTAAGGAGAGAAACACGTTTCCCACCAGTTCTTTTTCCTTTGCCTGAAAGAAAACTACAGCTTATTTGGCTTCTACGTAGCTATCAGGAAGAGTGAGCGTGTGTGTGGTGGGGGGGGAGTTTTGGACTGTTTTTTTAAGCTGCAATGATAGCCACGATCCACTGGGGTCCTTCCGCGGGACTGGAGTGACCCCGGGATAACAGGCTGCGCGCCACCAAAGCCATCTCAGACCCAGCTTCTGCTTTCACCATGGGTCCACTAAAGCCCAACAGCTACACCAACCTGGGGGAGCTTTTCTCAACTTCTGAGAGGAATACAAGGCATCACACAGCGACTTTTACTCAATTTCAGTGGAAAGAATTAAAAAATGGAGAGAAAAGCGATAAAGAACACCAGTTAATGGCATCTTTACTGTTAATAAACACCAAAAATATATACCCTGGTTACATCCTACATGCACTTTTAAATTAAGGGGAAGTTCCAAATATGCTGCAGTATATTCAAGTTGCGTGGAAAGTTCTGAAAAGCACAAAATTCCTGTGCTAAAACCCCTGTGCTAAAAATGTCTAAATATCTCCCATAACACAACAACACATAACTTGGCATTCCCGCTGTACCTTGCAAGGCCATATATATTCCTCATGCCAAAACATGCCCCTACAGAGGGTCTTTCAGGTCACTACAGAGCTGCGGGAAGGCGCACGGAGCGGGAGGACAGATCCCAGCGTAAAACCAGGGAGCCACGCTCTGCCCCCGCAGAAATTGGGGCATGTCACCGATTCCAGAGGACTGGCCGTGCAGAGCGGCACCGCTCGGTGCTGTTCCACCACACACACACACACACTGGCTCCGTCCACCCCCGAACACCGGCACGTCCATGAAAGCCGAGCCCGCGGGCCGCTGCCAGCCGCGGGGCGCCGGGACACATCCCTCACCCACGAAACAGCAGCCAGAAGCCGCTTCCCCTCCGAGCCGCCGCAGCCCCGTTCTTCCCGCTCCCATTCCCTCGCCGGCCCCCAGCAGCCTCCCGAGCCCCCACGTCCCGACGGCCTCTCCCCACGCGCGGGGCGTCCCGCCGGGGCCTGCCCGCTCCCGCGCGGCCGCTCACCGTTCCGCAGCTCGTGCTTGACGGTGCGCAGCGGCTGCTCGTCGCCCTCCGCCGCGCCGGAGGCTCCCTCCTCCTCCTCCTCCATTTTCTCGGCGCCGGCGGCGCGCTGCCCCTGCGTGCGAGCGCGCGTGGAGGCGGCGGGGGTGCCGCCCGGCGCCGGCCGGATCGTGCCTCTCAGGGGCGGCCCGCCGGGATAACGGCCATCGGCGTCACAAAACAGAATAATAGAATATAACAAATCAAAACACCAACGGAGCAGGCGCGAGCAGCGGTTCTGGAGGCACAGGCGGGCACACACGTAGGCTGCCCGGCGCCCGCCCGCCCGTGCCCTTGCGGCTCCCCTCCCCCGTGCTCGGGCCGCCCCGCGGCAGGGCGGGACGGGACGGGACGGAGCGGAGCGGAGCGGAGCGGGACGGAGCGGGACGGAGCGAGGCAGGACGCGGCGCGGAGCGCGGCGCAGCGC